AGTGAGTGAGTGTGTGTGTGTGTGTGTGTGTGTGTGTGTGTGTGTGTGTGTGTGTGTGTAAACTAAAAAGATCTTCCACTGGTCCTATCAGGCACTCAAAGTTGGTGGCAAACCTGCTGTCTGCTGGAAGCCGCGGACTATTGGGCACCAGAGAAGGCAGAGAGACATCTACTGGGGAATCTCTGTCTCTTCCTTGGTAACACTGAGGCTCTCTGTGGCTCACCGTAAAACTAGGTGGAGAAGAACTTTCTAAAGGATGACCATTGGTGTAACTGCTTCCTCCTTAGGCTTGGGATGTACAGCCCCCAAAAGTGCAGTTGCCCTTAAATTCTTTAGGAAGTGGGGGGATTCACCTGTCCCATTGTTGAAAAATTCATTACCTTCAAATGGGAGGTCCTTGATTGTTGTTTGGACTTCCCTGGGATCCTTGAGAACTGAAGCCATGGTGATCTCCTCATGATTCTTGCAGTGACCGTGGTGTCAGACATATCCAGGGCAGCCTATAGAGAAGTGCAGGCAGGCAGTTGTCCATCTTCCATGATGGATTTCAGCTCTTCATGGTGCTCCTTGGGAAGTTTGTCTATGAATTGAAAAAATCTGTCTCAGTTTAAAAAACATATTTTTGGAAAGCATGCCAGATAGTTAGCAACCCTCATCTGGAGGATTGCTGATTAATACACCTTGCAACTGAAGAGGTCCAATTTTTTTGGTGCTTTTCTCTCAGTATGGATTTAGAGGCCCCTGCTGCTTTGATCTCTGCTGTACAGCTGCCACTACAAGAGAACTTGGTGCTGAATACAAACAGACATACTCAAATCTTTAGCAGGGATCTAGTACCTCCTGTCTGCTTTTTGACAGGATAGATGCAAGTGTATGCCAGGTGGTTCTTGCAGGCTCGAGTAGACTTTCATTAATGGGCATGGTGAGTCTCCCTATTGTAGAAGGATGCAGAATGTCCAAGAGTTGTGTTGCTAAACCACTTTCAGGGATATGTCTAAGGTTTCCACCATGCATTTCATCAGATCTCTGAATACCTAAAAACTCATCAGCTGAAGCCAATGTGGGTGGATTCAGTCTCATCAGGAGAGTATGAGGATAATGCAGCAGGAATCAAATGCTTTTTTCCTGGCAGCTGACATTCCTCTTCACTCTGCCTCTCAAGAAATTGTGGGTGAACCAACTGGCTTAACTGATTTGCCTCTCTGGGAACACCAATCTAGCCCAGAGAAAACAGATGAAGCAGGCTTTCTGGAGTATGTCTTTACACCTCAGAGGGTCCAGTAAGGCCATGGCTGTGTAGGTAGAAGTACTATGGTGGAGTGCACATGGGGATGGGTAACAGGTAGGGTGATCTCTATGAAGCCCAGACCCCTTTCTACTACACGTCATGATGCTTCCTAGAATCCCTCCCTGACAGCCAACGGAGGGAATGGTGGCTGCGTGAGAGACAATTCTCTGGTGTGCTCATCTTTGGAGCATTGCTTCCTTGGTCCCTTCTTCCCTGTCTGATTTCCACACTGATGTAGTGGCAGACAAATGGGGCTTCTGAGTGAATATGGCCTGGGAGTTCAAGTGGAAACATGGCTCACCAGGGCACTGACTGAGAAAGACTGAGGCCTGGTTATAGTTCTCCTCTCAGAGTCTGAGGAGGCTTGCATCAACTTCTCTAGGAGGAAAAGTTTCAGCTTCGCCTCTCTCAATCTATAGGTATGCTTGGAGAAAGAGTGACAAACAGAACATTGTTCTATGACATGTCCTTCTCCAAGACAAAGCAGGCCTGTTGTTACTGGGTACTGAGGCATCACATGAGGGACAGGTCTTAAATCCCAGTGATTTAAACCATCACTCACTCTCTCTCTCTCTCTATATATATATATATTTGCCAATGGGCATAAAAAGACAAACTACACTTACCACACTATATTAACTACATTAACTATTTAAACCATACTAATATGTATAATCACACAATCTGCAGAATAAGGAAATACTGGTTATAATGTGCATTCAATTACTGATAAAATAGACTTCCAAAATCAAATATATCAAATTGAATAATTTTTTTTAATACAGATTTCGGTAATAGACATTTTTATATCTTCAGTAGGCCATTCCCAGAGACACTTTTTTTCCATGTTAGGTCTCAATAAGATGAATAAACTTCCTCTAATTAAAAACAAAATAAACTTAGATTACACATTGCATTGTCAAAATGGATACCAAGATTTGAGTTGGTCCTTGGGTTTTTACACATCAAGTTGGCAGAACAGAGAGCTTCCCTGAGATGAAGTGCAACTACTAATTGATTTAGAATATTAGTCTTCTTCTCTGACATTGACAGTAAGTAAAAGGCCTTTGATTCTTCCTCATATTGCTCAAATTTCTGAAATGTGCCTCAAAAAAACAAAACAAAACCTTTTAGAAACTTTTCTAACAAGAGGTGGAAGTAATGGGCACAAAGGGAAGTCCATATTTGAATATTCGCAGCCTCTGCCATCACAAGAACATAAGAATGGTCATACCAGGTCAGATCAAAGGTCCATCCAGTCCAGTATCCTGTCTTCCAACTGTGGCCAATGCCAGTTTCCCCAGAGGGAATGAACAGAAAAGGTAATCATCAAATGATTCATCCCCTGTTGCCCATTCCCAGCTTCTGGCAAACAGAGGCTAGTCACACCATCCCTGCCCATCCTGGCTAATAGCCATTGATGGACCTATCCTCCATGAACTTATCTAGTTCTTTTTTGAACCCTGTTATAGTCTTGGCCTTCACAACATCCTCTGGCAAGGAGTTCCACAGGTTGACTGTGTGTTGTGTGAAAAAATACTTAATTTTGTTTTAAACCTGCTGCCTATTAATTTCATTTGGTGACCCCTAGTTCTTGTGTTATGAGGAGTAAATAACACTTCCTTATTTACTTTCTCCACACCGGTCATGATTTTATAGACCTCTATCATATCCCCCTTAGTCGTCTCTTTTCCAAGCTGAAAAGTCCTAGTCTTATTAATCTCTCCTCATATGGAAGCCGTTCCATTCGCCTAATCATTTTTGTTGCCCTTTCCTGAACCTTTTCCAATACCAACAGGGCCGGCTTTAGGCCAATTCCCCAGAATCAGGCCCCGCGCCTAAGAGGGCCCTGCACCCAGTGGCAGGGCCGCCGGGGGGGAGGGGAGAAAGAAGTGGCCGAGAATCCCTTCCCTGGCTAGAGGCTCCTTTTTGATTTTTACTCACCCGGTGGCGCTCCGGGTCTTCGGCGGCACTTCGGCAGCGGGTCCTTCACTCGCTCCGGGTCTTCGGCAGCACTTCGGCAGCAGGTCCTTCAGTGCCGCCGAAGACCCGGAGCGAGTGAAAGACCCACCGCCGAAGACTAGGAGCGCCGCCCGGTGAATACAAGCCCCACGTGTTTTTTTACGTGGTTTTTTTTTTAGTCATCCCTGCCGGGGCCCTGTCGAAACTGTTCGAATCGGGCCCCTCACTTCCTAAAGCCGGCCCTGAATACCAATATATCTTTTTAGAGATGGGGAGACCACATCTGCACACAGTATTCAAGATATGGGCGTACCGTGAATTTATATAGGCAATCTGATATTTTCTGTTTTATTATCTATCCCTTTCTTAATGATTCCCAACATTCTGTTTACTTTTTTGACTCCCGCTGCACATTAAGTGTTTTCAGAGAACTATCCACAATGACTCCAAGATTTCTTTCTTGAGTGGTAATAGCTAATTTAGACCCCATCATTTTATATGTATAGTTGGGATTATGTTTTCCAATGTGTATTACTTTGCATTTATCAACATTGAATTTCATCTGCCATTTTGTTGCTCGATCACCCAGTTTTGTGAGATCCTTTTGTAGCTCTTTGCAGTCTATTTGGGATTTAACTAAACTGAGTAGGAAAAGCACAAGAACAAATACCTGAAAAGATTTTTTTTTATTTAAAACACCCACTTTAATGATTGACTTTGTCCTTAATGTATAAGACTTGAAGTAGCTAACAGGTTTATGTTGTTACTGTTTCTCACAGGAATAATAATAATTGACTCTCATGCAGCACTTTTCATCAGTGAATCTCAAGGTGCTTTACAAATGAGGAACGTATCATTACCCCCACTTTACAGATGGGAAAATTGAGGAAAAGAGAGGTGAAGTAACCCAGCAGGCTACTGACAGAGCTAGAAATAAATCCAGATCCCCCAGGTCCCACTTTAGTACCCTATCTATTAGGCCACACTGCTCTACACAGTAGTAAATCATTGGACAACTCTCTCACATTCTCTAACTTCAAAATGAATATTATTACATACAATGAATAAAAAAGACGTATATTAATCAATACTTTGAATATAAAATTTATGCAAATTATTCTCATTTCTTCAATATCCCTGCTCTTATATTCTTCTGTCACATACTTTAGGCTCCAGCTCAAGTATAAGAGTGATTCTGGTAAAAACACATCATGGGCATGGATGCTGATAAAATGCACTACACATATTTTTGAATATTGTTTGTATGTGCCACAAAATGAAAAATCTTGAAGTTTAGAACAGAAATATGAACTTTTTTTAGTACCACTAACCAATTTTATTCAATGATTAATTTATCATAGGACCAGATGCATAGATACTTTTACTGTATTTAGGTTTTGTTTGTATTACTAACTGCCTTTATTTACCATAAAAAAACAACAACAACACATAGGTTGTTAATCTTTAACCACAAACAGTAAAAATAATCGTAGACCAGTTGTAGTTTTGTTTAGGGATCACAGACTTTTTCAGTCTATCAAACTGGGGGAGAGGTGGGCAACCTGCGGCCCGTCAGGGTAATCTGCTGGCGGGCTGCCAGACAGTTTGTTTACATTTGCACGGCTGCCCACAGCTTGCAGTGGCCACGGTTCGCCGTTCCCAGCTAATGGGAGTTACGGGATGCGGCGCAGGCCGCAGGGACAAACTGTCTGGCGGCCTGCCAGCAGATTACCCTGACAGGCCACGTATGGCCCATGGCCCGCAGGTTGCCCACCACTGATCTGGAGTGTGCATTGATCTTTAGTGTGCAACATGCTTCTAACTTGCTTTTTGCTGATTCAACATGGGTTTGGAACTGTCTATCAATAAAAGTTTATATATTAGAATGAGTAAAAATATACAACAAAATGTAAGAAAAGATCAGACCACACTCCAGAGTCTTGTCAGATAATTATATTTTATTTAACCACAAACTAATAACTATGTACCAAATTGAGCATACTTTTCAATAGTTTTGTCAGAGTAAGGGCTGCAGTGTTGCACACTATATATAAAGCTATGAACAAAGGAAGCCAAAATATTGCACCAAATGTTCCAGTGGCAGTGTTTCTTGACATTTTATTTCCAGAGTCCTGTCTTCACAGAAGTCTCTTTTATTCTTACATGTTCTCTTACCCAAAGATAGTTTCTCTCAAGAATCTCCAAATTATTTACTGCAAAAAGTTTTAAAACCTCAAATAAACATAAGCAAATGTGGCTTTGACGTTCATTTATCTTAAGTATCTGGTCAAGTCATTTGAGGCCTCCATTGCTCAGTCCACTAAAACATA